CCTCAGGTTAATCCTCTGCAGTTGCTGAATACAATGTTTCTGGGAAAGATTCAGCATACCCATAAAGGTCTGATGTTTGTGCAGACTTGGGTGAACGGGAAAGAAGTTTTGGCGATGGTGGACACGGGTGCCACTCATAACGTCATTGCATAGAGGGACGTGAGAACTTTTGGCTTACAATTGGGCGAGAGCTTTAGCACGCTCACGGCTGTCAATTCATGAGACATTCCAGTGCATGGAAACGTAGAAGTGAACCTGAAAGTTGGTCTGTGGGAAGGCCGTGTAAGCATGACAGCTATACCCATGAACGAATTCAATGTCATCCTGGGGAATGAGTTCTTTGTCAAAGCCAAAGTGACATTAATGACACACTTAAACGAAATGTTGATCTCAGATAAGGGAACAGCATGCTTTGTACCTGCAAAGGTGTCAGATCGAAGCAGGAGAGACAACAAGCGAAAAACACAGATGTTGTCCGCCTTGCAAGTAGATACTGGAATGCAAGAAAGAAATATGACTTATCTTTCTGCCTTGGTGGGGAACAGACCTGTTGAGAAGGTTCAAATGCCAGTGTTGATGGCAGATCATGTGGAGGAAAGTGCTAAGACTTTGCCTTCAAATCTCCACAAGGACTTTCTGCCCAGATGTGGTGGTGACCACAAGAAAAAGTTAAAGCATGGTGTAAAGCTTCCAGTCCATGTTCCTAATCGAATGGTAATCATGGGACAACAACAGTTTTTTTCCTATGGAAGGGATAGACATAGGACCGGATGTTCTATTGCACATCGGAGGAATAAGCATGGTGATCCTGATCAGCACAAAGAGAATTGGGACAACCTCTCGACAAGGACATCGAATTCTTCTGGTGGGGGTGGTTTGTTACCCCCTTAGCTTCTGGCTCGACATTGGCATGGGGCAGCCTCGCCCAAAGGTGCCCATGCTTAGCCAAACTGAGTTTCGTTTAAGGAAGCAAGCCCTTTGCACAATCAGTGGGTGATTGAAGACCTATACATGGCTGAGGATGATAGCTCATGCACAGGCGTGGTGGACATGATCAGTAGGTGATCGAAGACCCATGTAGAGTTGAGTAAGGCAACTCATGCATGGGCACGCCTTGGTTCAATCAGTGGGATTGAAGCCTCATGCATGGCTGGGCGTAGCAGCCAAGGCATGGGCACGTGGGCACAAGTCAACATGCAAGCAAGGAAGTCGGGTGACTTGAATTGTAAAGCAACGCTGCTTGAAGGATTGATCCATAGGCTGGGCCATGGTTAAGCACAAATGTAATGCAATTCGGATGCTAAGGGCTCCTAACACATGCACAACATGTGAGGAAGTTGGGCATGTGCTCTATAGATGGTGGCAGTTCTGTACAGTTTTCTGACAAGTGCACAACATGTGCAATCTAAGTTAGATTCAGACAGCCTACAAGAAAGTTGCAGACACCAATTACAACTTTCTCTGTCATCTAATCAAAACAGACTTAGGGGCGGATTTGAATGTATGCAGTTGCCTAGGCGGTTGGGCTTGTAACCGCCACCTTGAACATTATAAATAGGGTGTCTTGGTCTGCAGTGCAACCAACAGAGTGTTGGGCACGTTTTTGTAAACAGATCCTGACTAAGTGTTCCTGTATGCTTTATTGAGAAAAAAAGGTTGGACTGTGGCATGTAAAGCTTGTGTGTGCTTTGCATTTTGCTTACTGTCCCTATTCTGTTCACTATGTGTATTCTGTGTGCACTTTAAGTGTTTGGCTGAGACTAAGTGTGTGGATCTTAGTGCTATCACGAGACAAAAATTTGGTGAGAAATTTAACCCCGTGACACCATCAAATGTTGAAGACCTCACACTAGGTACTACACGCCTCCCATATGGAAAACATGAAAAATCTCAAAATTTTGAAATAAAATTACTTTTCATAGTCTCTACTCCTAACAACAATTTGAGATTTCATCAATGTAGCCAAAAAAGTGTATTTTAGTAGGGTAATAACATTTTTTTTTAATTCCTCTCTCTCTCTCTTGATGTTAGGCAATGGATTTCCAAAATTTCATGTCTAGTAATATCTTTATTAAGGATAATTTTTTTCCTATAGATTCTTTGATTAGTTTGATTGTATTTTTGATCGATAGGCACTTATGCATCCTTCAAGAAATTTCTGTCATTGAATTTAGTGATAATATTTATATGTTACCTGTACAAGCTGTATTGGGGGGGGAGGAGGATTTTGATGGGCACGAGGGAAAAGAAATACTCTCTACTTTTCATTCTCTCCTATTTTCCTTTCAAACCAAGCAATAGAAATTCTTTCCTTCCCTTCCACTTTCTCTCCTTCATTTTTTATCTTCCAAACTTTCACTCGTGCCAAACAGAGTGTAAGTGATATTTACTTTAGCCTTCTATTTGAATATCCAGAATTCAAGATAGACAACAAAATAATAATAAATAAATAAAGCATACACATAAACAAACTGAGATTTATATAGTTCGACAAAAAATCTTATACTCTCACGTGAACTTACACTATGATGTCGTGTCTCTCACTCAAAGAAACTTTTGTCAAATTATGATGCCAAAACCAAGAAGAACACGCCACCACCAAAGGATTAGATTTGTACATGGCTATGACAACTTTTGAAGAAGAAAAATCAAAAGGCATGCCATAAGATAGGGATAGGCCACATTTTTTTCAACGTGTTTAGGAATTAGATTGACAAAATGAGTGCTAGCTGGTCCAACTTCTCTTTGTGGGAGAACTTTCTAATGTTTTGGCGGTCTAAGATACAGTTGGATGGTTTCAATTTTATGATACCAAGGTGCATGAGTGCTGTACTAGCAATGAGTTTCCTAGGTAAGTTATATAGGTACTTAACGTGTTTTTAATTCACTTTACTATTAATGAAAATATAGTTAATATTTATGATTAACTTCCCATTGAATGAATAGTATAGAGGTTATTAATGGGTCTTTGGTCGAACGATATTTCTTATCTTGTAAAGACTTGATCTTCTTAAGGTCAAGTGTTCATACCCTCTTTCCCCCTCCCTTCCCCTTCCCCTTCCCCTTCCCCCTCCCAAAAAAAAAAAATAGTGTGGAGGTCGGATTTTCCTCAAAGTGCAGCATTGAAGGTTTTCATCCCCTCAAAACAGGTTTTTTTTTCTCCCCAATTATATTTTTTTTTATTTTTTAAATTCATCAAAAACGTGCACGTAACAATTCATATTAGAGTTGGCGATGTTGAATACGTCGCTGTGGAATGTCCAAGTTCTAAAAAGGTAGACATGCCCAAGAATACGAGGAGAACTTTGAAGGCTAAAAAGGTAAGTGGGAGTGAAAGTAAATCCACAACAAATGTTGACTCCTCTTCTCAGATTGATGAAGGGAACTTCACAATTTTCGTAGGTTCCCATGCCTCCCCTCACAAGAAACTTCCAACGAAGAAGAAAAGGAAATTGTGTCTAGTACTACCACGAAAATAGAAAACTTAGAAGTTGAAGTCTCTAAATGAATTTAATCTACTCTTCATTGTTTTTCGTCTTCCACAATAACGTCATCGTCATTGTGGTCCTTGTTAGGCAAAAAAAATGATCGTTGCAGGCAAATTCAATGGATTTCAAGCAAAAGTTTAATTAGTCCATATCAAAAAAGAGTATCATTGATCACGTTGATTGACACGTTGATTGTCAAATTTTGAGGACAAAGTTTTTAAGGTTAATTACTAACATATTTCTTTCAAGTTTAAGTCATGTTACAATTAACTCTTTACAGTTCTAATTTTAAAAAAAAAAAAAAAAATTCCCCTTTAAAGTTTTTACTAAAATCAACTACCCCATTTCTGTTAAAATTGACTGCAAAAAAAATTGACAGAAATTGGCCATGTGAATTTCACATGACCTTTAATTCATTTGATGAAAAATTTGCCCACCACCTCCATGCCTTCAAAAACAACAAACACCAAAAAAATATCTCACCACCAGCCACTTTCAGCCACTAGACCACTGCTTACCCATTGTTGATTGACAACATTATCCAATCCTAAAAAGACAACAACCCCTTCGCCCAAGTGAAAACGAAGCACCTCCTTAACAAGTTAAGGAAGGTGTTTGGTGTTTGGTGTTTGGTGTTTGGTGTTTGCGAGGATGGTTGCAACGTCAACTGAGGTGTTTTCTATTTTTGATCCATCAAGTTGTTAATTTAGTCTCACGAAAACTTGAAGAGAACAAATGGTTAAAATTAAAATCAGAAGGAGTTAATTATAACATGATCCGAATTTAAAAGGGACATTGTATAATTACTTCAAGTTTTTAATTTTATATTTCTATCCCAATGTTATATAAACTAATTACTAAGAGATTACATAGAAAAGGAGTTAATAGGTTTCATAAGTAGTTATCACCATCGAATTGACCAAAAACTTTCCACGTTACAGATTCCTACCCAAGTAAATGAGTGAACCAAACCATGCTTGAAATCTCAACGATCCCATGCTAGTCACTGATGGGATTAATTAAGGGGGCAACCACCATTAACTTTAAGGAGACTTGCTTCAACTATAAAAACGGAGACATAATTTATTAATATAATTAATAATAAGATAATAAAATAGTCTTATAATAAATAGTATTTAATAAAAAATATATACGTGTCATTTTTCATTAATTAAAAATAGAATAAAGAGTAAATTGAACCCTCTAAATATAATTTTCCTTTTTAAATAACTCCTCTGGATAACTCACCCTTCTCTTATTCATGACAAACTATGTTCCTTTGGTGACCAGATTGAGATTTCACAGATTAAGACTAAGAATTTCTAATGTTCAACTAATGGCAACTGTAGTTTGTCATTGGACTGCCACCTTGAAGGTTCGAACTTCACCGGCCCTCTCGGTAAAAGTTTAAAATATATGTGTGATTAGCAAATATATGGGTAGCCAAATGATTGAAGCACCGCATTGATTAAACAACCGTCTACCTTTATATTCTTCTTGCTTGCCTTCAACATGCAGGCTCATCATCATTCTCCAATGGCTTCTGCTATAAATTATCTTGTGTTCTTCTCTCTTTTGCTTTTCTCTCCCACTTTGGCCATGGCTAACATAGCTTTGACCTCATCACTATCCGCCATTAACGACAACTCTTCATGGAATTCCCCTTCTGGGGACTTTGCTTTTGGTTTCCACCAGCTTAATAACCCAAACACTTTCCTTCTTGCAATCTGGTATGCAAATATACCTGATAAAACAATTGTCTGGCATGCAAATTCGACTAATCCAATTCAAAGAGGGTCGAGACTCGAACTCAGGACTACCGGGTTAGTTCTAAACGATCCTCAAGGCCGAACAATATGGACGGCAGAACCCGATAGCACCGTGTCTGATGCCGCCATGCTTGACAGTGGAAACTTTGTGCTTTCAGACAGTGATTCTGTCAAGGTTTGGGAAAGCTTCGAAAATCCCACAGACACCATTTTGCCAACCCAAGTATTGGGATGGGGAGGCAAACTCTATTCAAGGCTAAATGAAGCCAACTACTCGAAGGGCAGGTTTGAGCTCCAATATTTCTCAAATGGTTATATGAAACTCTATCCCGTGGCTTGGCCTACTGAATACCCTTATGATGAGAACTATTATAGCATCAACACATCTAGCACCAACTCTTCTGAATCTGGATTTCAGCTGGTTTTTGGCGAATCGGGCGAGATTTATATAGAGAAAGGAAATGGAGAGAGAGTTCAACTTTCATGGCAGACTATAGCTCCACCAAGGGTGAATTACTATTATCGAGCAACATTGGATTTTGACGGGGTTTTCAGGCAATATGCTTATCCCAATGGTTCTGCCGGTGATCGAAGATGGTCTGTGGTTCGATATATTCCCGAAAACATTTGCATTCAGCTGACACACACTCAACAGGGCAGCGGAGTCTGTGGGTTCAATAGCTATTGCAATCAAACCAGTGGGACTCCAAGTTGTCACTGCCCACCTGGGTATTCGCCGATCGATCCGAATAACCAATTTGGTGGCTGTAAACCCAATTTTGCTCAAGGGTGTGGAGTGGATGATCAATCAGTAGACCCTGAAGAACTGTATTATTTTCAGAAGCTTCAGGGTTTGAATTGGCCATTTGGAGATTATGATCGCTTGGAACCTTATAATCAGACTGATTGTGAACAGTCTTGCTTGCGTGATTGTTTGTGTGCAGCTGCCATATTTGATGGCTTAAATTCAAGATGCTGGAAGAAGAAAATGCCACTTTCTAACGGGCGAGTCGAGCGTGGATCACTGGTTCTCATCAAAGTAAGGAGAGATGTTTCTAGCGTCCCAGGCATGCCCAATATTCCGTCATATCGTTCTGGTAACACCAAGACAGAGAAGCAAATTCTCTTAGGATCACTGGGAAGTTCCATGTTCTTCAATGTTCTTTTTCTAGTTTTGATTGCTCGAATCGTTTTATTGAGGCGCAAGAAGAAAAGACCTGCAAAAGATCCAGCAGTAATTGAGCCGAATCTGCGTTTATTTAGTTTCAAAGAACTTGATGATGCACAAAAATGGTTTTGCACACCACCTGTCAAGTATAGATAATAAATGCAATGAAATCAACGAAAAAATTAGAGAAGACACAATTTATAGTGGTTCGGTCAATTCGACCTACGTCCACTCTTCAATGGCTTCAGTCGCCGGGTATTTTATTGATTCAAAGGTATGGAGAATGGAGATACAAGCTTTGAGAGGGGGAATGGAGAATCAAAGAATAATAATCTCCGGTAGTCGGTTCGTCTTCTGTGTGTCTCTGATGGAGCATGTCCCTTCCTCTCCCAGATTAGAGCCATTTTATAGTAGCTAAGAGATCATTCTTGTGGAGATCATGACATATCCTCAAGGCTTCTTTATCGCAGCTTAGAGATTATCTTTGGTGG